TTTGAATCAGAAAATCATATGGTCTACTATGCCAGGAACGACAAATTGAAAATGAATGGCGTCTCATTCATTATTAAAAAGAACATTTCAAGACCTATCCTGAAATACAATGCTGTCAGTGATAGGATAATATCCATATGCCTACAAGGGAGACCAGTTAATACAACTATTATTCAAATTTACACACCAACCACTAAGGCCAAAAATGAAGAAATTGAAAATTTTTACCTACTTCTGCAGTCGGAAATTGATCAAACATACAATCAAGATGAATTGATAATTACCGGTGATTGGAATGAGAAAGTTGTAAACAAAGAAAAAGAATCAGTAGTTGGAAAATATAGCCTTGGTGGTAGAAACCACCCTGGAGATCGCATGATAGAAAGTCGTTGCAAGACCAATGACTTCTTCATTGCAAATACTTTTTCCCAAGAACATGAACAGTGACTATAAACATGGACCTCACCAGCTGGAATACACAGGAATCAAACTGACTATATCTGTGGAAAGAGATGATGGAAAAGCTTAATATCATCAGTCAGAAGAAGACCAGGGGCTGACTGTGGAACAGACCATCAATTGCTCACGTGCAAACTCAAGCTGAAGCTAAAGAAAATTAGAGCAAGTCCATGAGAGCCAAAATAGGACCTTGAGTATATCTTAAGTAAATTTAGAGACCATCTCAGGAATAGATTTGATGCATTGAACACTAATGACCGAAGACCAGAAGAGTTGTGGAATGACATCAAGGACATCATACATGAAGAAAGAAAGAGGTCATTAAAAAGACAGGAAAGAAAGAAAAGACAAAAATGGATGTCAGAAGAGACTCTGAAACTTGCTCTTGAACTTAGAGTATTTAAAGCGAAAAGGAAGAAGTGAAGTAAAAGAGCTGAACAGATTTCAAAGGGTAGCTTGAGAAGACAAAGTAAAGTACTTTAATGAAATGTGCAAAGACCTTAAGTTAGAAAACCAAAAGGAAAGAACACGCACAGCATTTCTCAAGCTGAAAGAACTGAAGAAAAAATTTCAAGCCTCGTGCTACAATATTGAAGGATTCTACAGGGAAAATACTGAACGACACAGGAAGCATCAAAAGAAGATGGAAGGAATACACAGAATCACTGTACCAAAAAGAATTGGTCGATGTTCAAACATTTTGAGAGGTAGCATATGATCAGGAACCAGTGGTACTGAAAGAAGTCCAAGCTGCACCGAAGGCATTGGTGAAAAACAAGGCTCCAGGAATTGACGGAATACCAATTGAGATGTTTCAACGAATGGATGCAGCGCTACAGGTGCTCACTCATCTATGTCAAGAAATTTGGAAGACAGCCATCTGGCCAACCAACTGGAAGAGATCCATATTTGTGCCCGCTCCAAAGAAAGGTGATCCAATAGAACACGGAAATTATTGAACAATATCATTAATATCACACACAAGTAAAATTTTGCTGAAGATCATTCAAAAGCAGTTGCAGCAGTACATTGACAAAGAATTACCAGAAGTTCAAGACGAATTCAGAAGAGGACGTGGAATGAGGGATATCACTGCTGTTGTCAGATGGATCTTGGTTGAAAGCAGAGAATACCAGAAAGATGTTTACATGTGTTTTATTGACTATGCAGAGGCATTCCACTGTGTGGATCATAACAAATTATGGATAATGTTGTGAAGAAAGGGAATTCCAGAACACTTCATTGTGCTTATGTGGAATCTGTACGCAGACCAACAGGCAGCCATTCAAACAAAACAATGGAATACTGCATGGTTTAAAGACAGGAAAGGTGTGCATCAGGATTCTATCCTTTCACCATACTTATTCAATCTGCAGGCTGAGCAAATAGTCCGAGAAGCTGGACCATATGAAGAAGAATGTGACATCGGGATTGGAGGAAGACTCATAAACAACCTGCATTACGCAGATGACACAACCTTGCTTGCTGAAAGTGAAGAGGACTTGAAGCACTTACTGATGAAGATCAAAGGCTATAGCCTTCAGTATGGATTCTGCCTCAACATAAAGAAAACAAAAATCCTCACAACTGGACCAATAAGCAACATCATGACAAACGGAGGAGAAAAGACTGAAGTTGTCAAGGATTTCATTTTGCTTGGATCTACAACAATGTCCACAGAAGCAGCAGTCAAGAAATAAAAAGATGCATTGCATTGGACAAATCTGCTGCAAAAGACCTTTTTAAAGTGTTAAAAAGCAAATTTATCACTTTAAGGACTAAGGTGTGCTTGACCCAAGCCATTGTGTTTTCAAACACCCATATGCATGCAAAAGCTGAACAACGAATAAGGAAGACCAAAGAATCAATACCTTTGAATTATGTATGGTGTTGGCAAAGAATATTGACTATACCATGGACTGCCAAAAGAACGAACAAATCTGTCTTGGAAGAAATACAGCCAGAATGCTCCTTAGAAGCAAGCATGACGAGGCTTTGTCTCACATACTTTGGACGTGTTATCAGGAGTGACCAGTCCCTGTAGAAGCACATCATGCTTGGTAAAGTAGAGGGTCAGCGAAAATGAAGAAGACCCTCAATGAGATGGATTGACACAGTGGCTGCAACAATGGACTCAAGCATAACAATGATTGTGAGGATGGCTTAGTGTTTTGCTCTGTTGTTCATAGGGTCGCTATGAGTTGGAATAGACTCGCCAGCACCTAACAACAAGCCAAAAGAATGAACAATTCTGTCTTGGAAGAAGTACAGCCAGAATGTTCCCTGGAAGCAAGGATGGCAAGACTTCACCTCACATAGTTTGGACATGTTGTCAGGAGGGATCAGTCCCTGGAGAAGGACATCATGCTTGGTAAAGAAGAGGGTCAGCAAAAAAGAGGAAGACCCTCAATGAGACGGATTGACAGTGGCTACAACAATAGGCTCAAGCATAACAATGACTGTGAGGATGGCGCAGAAGCGGGCAATGTTTTGTTCTGTTGTGTACTTCGCTATGAGTCAGAACAGACTCGATGGCACCCAATAACAAATGAGATGTTCAAGTAGCTATGTCAGGCATACGGAGGAGAAGACACACTGAGGAGAAGATCATGTGATGAAGGAAGAAGAGGTTGGGTGATGCAGCTACAAGCCAAGGAACTGCTTGGAACTCCTTAGAAACAGGAAAGGGCCATGTGCACTTCTGGACATCACCAATGAGCCCAAGACACAGGAGAAGGTATAGAAACCATGTTGTCATTCTCAGAATGAGAGCTCTCTGGTGGTGCTTGAAGTAAGGCTGGACTGAGGCAGTGAGGGGGAAGATGGAAGGCGATATGGGTGGAGTGTCTGTGGTGTAGCACTTTGTCACCTGGGCCTCACAACAAGTCAGGGGAGTAGGAATTATTTGTCCCATTTTACAAAGGAGGAAACAGACAGAGAGGTGCTGAGATTTTCTTAGGACACAGCTAGGAAGTGGGGAAACAAGGGCTGTCTGACTGCAATACCAGCGAGCAATTTTCCCACTTGGAATGCTGAACATGTGTGGCAGAGACCAGGTGTATTAGTTTCCTAGGATTACTGTAACAAATTACCAAAAACTTGTTAGCTTAACAACAGAAACATATACTCTCACAGTTCTGAAGGCCAGAAGTCCAAAATCAAGATGTCACCAGGGCCATACTCCCTGAAGACTCTAGGGAGAATCTGTTCCATGCCTCTCCTCTAGTTTCTGGCTGCTGCCGGCAATCCTTGGCATTCTTTGGCTTGTAGCTACGTCACCCAATCTCTGCCTCGTTCTCCTTCACATCGTCTTCTCCTCCATGTGTCCGTCTCCGTGTGTCTCTGTGTGCCTCACTCTTACAGGGATATTTGTCATTGGATTTAAGGCCCACCTGGATAATCCAGGATAATCTCCTCATCTCAAAATCCATAACTTAATTACAACTGCCAAGATTCTTTTTCTAAACAAGTAACATTCAAAGGCTATGGGGATTAGGACCTCGACATAACCTTTTAGGGGCCACCATTCAACCTACTACAATGGGCTAGAGGAGGCCATAGCTGTTAGCCTTGGAAATCTAAAAAAATGCTTCTTGAGTTTACAAAACAGACAACCTTTCAAAGTTCTCTTCAACCACCTTCACAAATGTGCCTCTTTGCAGAATGGATCAGCAGCCTAGATGCTACCAATACAAATGTATGTGACTTGGTCATCTAGACTGCCTATAATTATGACAAAACTAATTAATTATAATAATGACAAAACTATCAGAGTCAAGCACGGAGGAGAATGTACAATAAATGTGTCTGCAAGGATGCCTACTCTGAGTTTGCAGTATTAGACAGGATGTGTGTGAATTTGTACCAAGATACCTCCCCACCAGGTTATTGGCTTCACTTTCTTTCAATAACAGCCACAGCTGCCCAGGCACCTCACTGCCTTCCTCTACAGGGGGAAACTTAGTTGGGGTTCCTTGGACCAGTTTTTTGTCTCATGCTCCTGGGTTTACAATGTCATCGTAAGGACTGAAGCCAAAGGAGGACAGTGGAAAGGGGAATGGGAAGAGGAGAATGTAAAGGAATGTAGATGTAGCTTTCCCAACCCCGTTAGCATGTGCCACATCCATCCAGAGGCTACTGGCTTGGCTGTAACACAGAGAGAATCATTTTTATTTCTGCCACTTAGGATCTTCACAGTCCGTGGAAGAGATCTTTGGCATCAGGAGAAGAGTGAGTAGAAGGCATTGCCACAACTCGAACCCCTGGTTTCTGATTCTCAGGTCCTCCCACTCTTTCCATGATGTTATCTCACTGGTGAGAACTCTTTAAAGCAGCAAAGAGCTTCTTCACCACCCTTAGCAGACCTTATCAATACCTGCTATATTGCCAGGAGACTATATAACAATTTCTATCTGTAGAACACTTTACAGTTTGCAAAGCACGTTCACATATATGATTTCAGCATGCTGGCAATTGCTGAGTAAATCTGGCTGCCTAGAGAAGTTTCCTGGCATCCTGTACCTATGGTATTTTATGACAGGATATTGATTTAGTATGTGGATGATGCCTCATCCCCCACAGAAAAGACAGAAAGTGCTTCTTTTTTGTTTGTTTGTTTTTGGCAGGGGGGCTTTTTTGGCTGTTGTTTTTGTGTTTGGTATTTACACAGCTGTCTCACACTTCCAAAGCTACCCAAAATTATATTTTTGAAAATGGGCACTCCCAGAGGGTGGGAGTCGCGTGTTTGCTTAGCATTATTACAAATTTATTCATATTTGGGCATTTAAATAAGTATTGGAGCAGGCAGGCAACAAGGGCACTGGATGCTTGGGTCCGTTTCCAATTCATTAGGAGAAATTCCGACTTCAGTTCCCTGCAAGCTTGGCAAAATCCTTGAGGCTGTCATTTGCAAACCACTGGATGCAGTAACTGTGTGTGGGAAGATTGCCCATATCACGACCGTGTGGATTATAAGCGGTTTTGTGGACTCAGAGGAGCACTGTGGGTTCATAGACAGCTTGGAGAGAATCAAAGTCTTGTATCAGCCTGCACCAGGAAGATGATTCCTACTAGATGGAAACTTCCCACAGGGAGGCTACAGCAGAAAGCAGTTACTGGTTTCTGCTGCTTTTACAGCGAATCACAGGACTACAGATTTTAAAACCGGAAGGGATCTTAGGGACCACCTAGTCCCTCCCCTTCATTTTATGATGAATAAACAAAGGCAAAGAAAAGTGAAATGATGACCAAGAACACACAGTCTAAGTACAATGCTCTTTTCACTGTGCTATATTATGGGTTCTAGAAAACTCCTCAACAAAGCCACATGTTGTTTTGCAGATCAAAGAAGCTGGCATCATTTAGGGGTCACGCTCACAGTCTGCCCAGCTTCCAGTGAGGACACGAGACCTTGATTTGCTATCAGCAGCAGTTTTTGAATTGCCTTGTGATGCTTTATGTCTGTTAAAACAAAAATCATATTAAGCCAATAACATAAATTGATTGATGGATGATTTGCAAACTGGGGTAACATTTCAACTAGGGAGTCAAAAATGTTCCAAAGAAGAGAGAACCTCCAATGATTCTTGTACCCCATCTTATCAATGTTGCCATGGAAAGGGGGCCAGAACAGTGTTTTCATAATAATAATTTACCCTAAAACACAGCTTCCACTCCAACCCTGGAGTTTCTGTTCGTTGCAGCTGACTGTACATAGACAATTCTTCAAAAGAGCACAAATGCCCAAGACAGAATGGTCTTTACTAATTAGCAAGACTATTATTTGACTTACAGGTGACTTTTATGAGACCACTCTGCTCAACGCTCAAGGTTCAAAAGATGACCTCAGGACAATGGCCTGGGTGGGTCACTCCACCTCATGGAACCCAGAAATATGGATTACATGAGAATTAAAAACTGTTTCTCATATCACAGAGAGGACTAAAACACTTATAGCAGGGTTTCATGGCACATGGCACGAAATTGTGCATTTACCTCATTATCAGATTAGCAGCATCAAAAAATATGTATTAAATGATTTTGTCCATCCTGCACCTGGTGGGTCATCAGATGGGAATGAATGACATCAGGCCCCTAGGCAATGGCTTTGTGGTAAAACAAAGGAAGCCAAAGAAAAACCCAGGTGCTGGTGGTGGTGGTGGTGGTGGTTTGCCGTCGAGTCCATTTTCCACTCATAGTGACCCCATGTGACAGCATGTGACAGAGTAGAACTGTCCCATAGGATTTTCTAGGCTGTAAACTTTATAGGAGCAGATCACCAGGTTTCTCCCACGCAGCCACTGGGTAGGTTAGAACCACCAATCTTTCGGTTAGCAGCCTAGCACTTAACCACGGTGCCACCAAACCGAAAAACCAAACCTATTGTCATCGAGTCGATTCTGACTCATAGGAACCCTATAGGATAGAGGAGAACTGCCCCATAGGGTTTCCAAGGCTGAAATCTTTATGGAAGCAGACTGCCACATCTTTCTCCCACGGAATGGCTGATGGGCTCGAACCACCAACATTTCAGCCAACCGCTTAACCACTGCACCACCTGGGCTCCTTTTTAAAACCTGGTTAAGGTGCCTCAAAGCACAATCTGAAACAAGGCACTTTACTGGTATGTGCCAGGCAGGTTTCCACTACTCACACATGGTTCTTTTCATTCACCATGGAAAACGTCCCCAATCCTGGGGATTTTGGGAAAGCATTAAGCAGGACATCTCTTTGCTAATGAATCCATCATGGCTAACTATTACATCTCTGCCTTTTCATTTCCTGATGCCTCTGCCTGGAATGCTCTCTCCCTCCTCCCTCAGTCTCCTAAGATTCAGCTTAAGTATCACCTGGGAACAACTCTTCACGCAGTCTCTCCTTTCCCCCACTCCAAGCTGAGTTCAGGTGTCCTTTTTCTGTCCTCCCACCCCCTCCAGAACCCTAGGCTTCCTCTCTCACTAAGCTTACCCAGTTTATGACAGTTGTAGGTTTTCTTGGCTTTCCCACTATTAAAAGGCACACTTGTCCAATACGGCAAGTAGAGTTTTTCATTTCAAGATTCCCTTTGCCTGAAATAGTGCCAGGCACAGAATTGGTTTTTTATAAATGTTGGTGGAATGAATAAAATTTGAATTCCTCTGACTGCCACTCAACTTTGCCTTTTATCTGGTCCTTCTGACTTTGCACAGATCCTCAATACAACGTCAATCATAGGAGAAGGTCAGTTTCCCTCTTTGTTATGGATTGAATTGTGCCACCCCAAAATATGTGTTGTAAATCCTAACCCCTATACATGTAGAAGGAGCACTGGTGGTGCAATGCTTAAGAGCTTGGCAGCTAACTGAAAGGTTGGCAGTTCTAATCCACCAGCCGCTCCTTGGAAACGCTATGGGCCAGTTCTACTCTGTCCTGTAGGGTCACTATGAGTCAGAATTGACTCCAAGGGAATGGGTTTGGTTTGGTTTGGTTTATACGAGTAGAAAGGAGCCCTGGTGGAGCAATAGTTAAGCACTCAGCTGCTAACCGAAAGGCTGATGATTCAAACCCACCCAGAGGCTCCATGGAAGAAAGAACTGGTGATCTACTCCTGTAAAGATTATAGCCAAGTGGGGACATGGTCTCGGGGAACATCTAGCTCAATTGGCATAATACAGTTCATAAAGAAAATGTTCTACATTCTACCTTGATGAGTAGCATCTGGGGTCTTAAAAGCCTGTGAGCAGCCATCTAAGATACTCCACTGGTCCCACCCCTTCAGGAGCAGGGGAGAATGAAGAGAGCAGGACACAAGGAAAAGATTAGTCCAAAGGACTAATGGATCACAGCTACCAAGGCCTCCACCAGACTGAGTCCAGTACAGCTAGATGGTGCCCAGCTACCACCACTGACTGCTCTGACCGGGATCACAACAGAGG